AGTTTGTGCCCCCCCCCCCCCCCCCCTGTATTGCACTAGAAAGGCAGTAAACTTAGAAATCACCTCCCAGTTTCCCTCCTTTACCACCTCCTTCCAGATCCTCTCCCACGGGTCTTCAGACCCGTGAGATCCTTTTCTGAGGAGGAGGGACAACTGGGCTGCATAGGCATTGCCATGTTTTAAGGCAGCACTTCAGAAACCAAGGTGGGCATGGTTCTGGCTCTCCCAGAAGGGGTGTGGCCTGAGATGGAAGGGTCATGGTCTGCAGTGGAGCTTGAAGTGGAAGAGGTGGAGACAGGGGAAGGACCTTGGTTTTGTTGTAAGGTGTTGGCTTGGGCAGAGGATGCAGCAAAATGGTGGTTGGCAGAAGAGGAAGGGAATTCAGGAGAGAGCACAGGCAGGAGAGGGTCAGAGTGGGAAAGTTTCAAAATGGAAGCACCATTGCCATCTTGGGCCCTTGCGGAGGAGTTGGTGGTGGATATGGGGCAATAGAGTAATGCAGCAAACCAACACTTCCTCCAAGCATGCTGGCAATGTCAGCTCCATATCCCATTCCAGGGTAGTGCAAAGGACAAGAAGGATAGGGGCATGAAAGAATGAGAGTTCTATAAGGCATGGGTTCCCATGCACTCAGCAGGCTTTGCTCTGGTGTACCAGTCCCAGGGTCAGAGGAGTCGGGGGTAGAGAAGAAGAAGCTTGAGGGGGTGCAAACAGAAGAGGTAGGGTGACAAAAGGGGTGGAACACTACAGAGGGGCATTACCCAATGTGGAGGCCGAACCCCATGTGGGAGGGTTGAGGGAAGAATAAGGGACTGGCTCATACCCAGGAACCAAGGGTAGAGAATGGATGGGGTTATCAGGGGGATCGGGCTTAACCTCTAACCACCACTTTATAAACAACCTGGAATATTGGAAGTAAACAAAAAGGCCCAAAATCCCTTTTGGAACCTAAATCATAAATCTTGTCCCCAACAGAATTCCAAAACCCCACAGTAAAAATAATATCCTCTGTAACAGAAGGAAGATTACAAAAGACACACCTAATAATTGCCTTAAACTTTCTTTTAGAAATTTTTTCCCCATGCTTAACTAAAAGCCCCTTAAACTGCAAGTATATGTCCCACTCTGCCATGGACAGCCCTAGTCCCATGGCTAAAACAAAAACCACACTTTCTCCTGTAGGCTCACTGTTGTTGTTCTATTTCTAGAGTCCTATACTGTTGTTATCAAATTTCCAAAGTCCATACCTCCTCAGCATGTTCTTATGGCTGCAGATCTTCACAGCACAGACTCCTTCTTCTACATGTTGTCCTTTCTCAGTTCAGGCCTCCTTCAAGGCTCTCCCTTGAAGGAGGCTAACCCACCCCCTTTTATCCCAGTTATCTTCACTAGTCACAGCTGCAGCCCAATTAAGCACATCACAGCTGCAGCCCATCAAGGACAACCGGGACCTCCCAGGGCAAAGCCTATATACAGATATTTAAGTACAATACATTTCCTCTACTATAGCTCACCTGCACTCCTCTGCAGGGTGGATCACAATCCTTGTCCAACTCCAGTTGGCAGCACTTTTCGAAAGTCCTATGGGGCCCGCTGACCAGACTGGCTCCCCCCTGTCAGAAGTAGCTTGGTCTACCCTTGCAGCCAAGTCCAATAAAACTTGGACTCATGTTCTCAGGGTAGTAGACTTCCTGACCAGGACTTATGTCCAGTGACAGTTGTCCTGCAGGTCCATCGCTGGAGAGCCTTCCAGGACCCTTGTTCAAGGGTCTGTGTTCAGGTGCCACTTGTCATGTTTCGTGTTGTTCTGTCCACATCTGCAAGGATGGGCATAGGCAAAGCAAGGGGTCAGTGCAGAAGAAAGAGTGGGTCTTAGATCGAAAATCCGAGGGTCCTTTATTCTTCTATGCCGAGATCACAGGAGCACTCCTGAATGCACCTGACCTCTAAGACCAAAACTAAGGGGTAATCCCTACTTATATACATTCCTATGGAACATTCTAGAAACATTCTAGTCAATCACAAAAAAAAAAATATAACCTAAATTAACATAATAACTCCTATGATCCCTTTCAAACAAACATGAACTCTCGCTCGCTAACTTGAAACCATGTCCCCAAACTTAGAGTGTTGCTTTCCATGGCCTTGGGTTGTTCGCAGCTATGGCTGACTCACTGGCCAGGCCAGGCTGCTGGACCTCCACAGTCCATCACTCTTTTCAGTCCTCCCTTCTGCCAACCTTGTGCTCATATAGTTTGTCTGGTCAGTGGCTGCTCTCTTCCACCTAAACTGGAGGGGGGAGGAATCCTGGATCATAGTTTGGGGCTCTGCCAGGAATGTCTCACCACACAAGTTCCTGGTTGGTCTACTGTTGTTTTTACAGGACCGTATTTTTGAGAAAAATTGATTCATTCCCAGGTGACGTCTCCCCAGGCCTACACTTTGCCTTCCTGGGCCAGGATATCCCCTGTAGGGGAGGAGGTGGTACCTCTCAGACCAGCAATTACTCTCTTTAAGGGGGCCAAAGCCTGTAACTTTCCCTGCCACTGAATTCCTATCAGTTTTAGAGAGCTGAGAAGCCCTCAAATTAGAGAAGTCATTCTCTCAGGATCTACTGAGAGCAAGATGGGGGATTCTTGGAAAGGCAGAAGTTTGCAATTGTACATCATTTGTAGACAGGCTGCTTTATGTCTCTGGTAATTGGTCCTTTCTATAGTGAGGAGGTCACCTCTTTCCAAGGGATCTACACCACCAGCCCAATATGCAGCCCTCTGGGTCAAATTCCATGATTCCCGGCAGCCTTCAGGGATGAGTAAAACACCTGGACTCCAGTAACCTTCTGCCTCCTTCTCCTTAAGCAGTATTTGGCCTTCTCTGCTTAAGGAAATACAAAAGACATACTCAGTTTCAGTTTTGCCAGGATGGCAGCCCAATTCCATCTTCAGTTTACCCAGTTCCAGAGCTGTGAAAGGGAGGTCTTTGGTTGTTAGGAGGGGGGACTGATCCTGATCATTCTCATATGTGTAATCCATTTTTATTAAGGGGAAAGCACAGACTGTGGTGCCAGCTCAGCTTGGCCTGCTGCTGTGGGCTCTCTTTTGGGTTCTGAGGGAGTGACAGCTCTGGCCGTGACATCATTCAGGAGAGCCGCAGTAGCTCCAGGACCAGCAGCTGTGGGATCAGAGGCTACAGGACCGAAGGCTCTGGGACCAGCAGCCACCAGACCAAGGGTGCACAGACCAGCAGTGCATGGACCAGTGGCTTCCCTTGCTAAACCGTCCCCCAAAACCTGCCACAAGCTGTCATTCTGCTTTTTTTTTCTCCTCAAAATTTCTCTGCAAGTCCACAATACAGATTTGCAGGAATTGCACTAGCATAGTGATTCAATCACTGTCGTCTCCTGGCAACACTGGGCAGTCCTCTCCTGTATAGCAGCCATCAGAGGCACCCCCAATGCCACACACATGGCTGCTTTCTCATTCCCAGGCTTGGATTTTGCTTTTGCCTGCAAAGCCAAGACCTGGTCTATAACACTTTGGATGCTGTGCCAGTGGTCCCTAACCCACTCTAATCCAGACACAGAGGGTCTTGCTCTAAAACCTCCTAAGAAATCCAATAAGGGAGCAGATGAGTTTTTGCCCCGCTCTCCTTTTACAGCACCTACATTTATTACTACTGTTTGATGCTGTTGAGTCAGGGACGGGAAGAAAAGACTCCAGTCTTCAGAAGGTCAATCAGAAGGCTTTAATGAAAATTAGTGTGCCTTTTATAATGTGACTCGCTAAGGGGAAACTTGGTTGGTCTCAAAGGAAAAACTTCTCACGCTATTGGTGAACTATGAATAGCACACTCCGGAGAATCATATCTATAAACAACAGTTATTGAAAGAGATAATAATTGTTTTAATTATTTTCTTGAAGTTTCCCAGGCTTGGCCTGGGAGAAATTATCTCTGTTCTTTCTTTGACTAACTGAGAATATCCACAACTGTTTTTCGGGTAAACAACTTTCAGGGAGGGTAACACCTTATAATCTCTATGTGCTCAAAAACTACACAAAAGGTTGTGGGGGTTTTGTGTTGTTTTGTTTTTAAAGAAGCACACACTGTGAGAGAAGTGGCAAAACAGCTTCCTGAAGAAGGTCACACTATTAAAACTTCCAGGTGCCCTGAACAGCATTCCCCAGGAGGATGCACTTCACAGCAACAAGCCAACTGGCTGCAGAGATGGGACATTTTACTTCCCAGGAAAGGCCACACGATAAAAATACCCAAAAATGCCCCAAATGCTTCCTGAGGGACCACACTTTAAATCACAAAGGCAGCTGCACACAGAGTTACAGAAAGGGGGGCAAAATGCTTCTCAGAAAGGGCTGTGTTGCCACCGCTTAGGGCATGGCATCTTGGGTCGAGGATGGTTCAGTGACAGCACCTCTGCCACACGGGCCAAGCACATGCATACACCAATGTGGTGCACAGTAACTATTATTTATTAACTATTAACTATTTATTAACAGTTAGACAGGGTCATTTATAACGGGGGGTAACGGTCAGTTAACGGTAAAAGGGGTGGGGTTCCGCCTAAGCGTAACATCGCGGTATCTTGAGACCTCATGATATCTCCCCACATTTCCCCCCCCTTTTATGACCAACTAAAAACATAGAAAATTCTAAGGTTAAAACAAAACTGACAAGTAGGAAACGTGTAACTGGCAAAATGCACTTAGCTTGAACAATGTAACACAACTGCAATAAACTTGTAATCTGCAAATGTTTAACAAACGAAAAGCTAACTATCTCTAACTGTTTTTTTCTAAAAAACAACACAAACTTGTTTAAAATGTAAGGTGATCAGTCATGGGGACTGACTGAACCATGACTTTGAATATCTCTGCAGGACCTCCTCAGTTTTTTAGTTGACCTCATAGCACCGAATTATTCTCTCAAACAGTCTGTGACCTGTTTGATCTTAAAACTAGAGAGGATTTGGAGAGTTCATGTCTGGACTTATGTCCCCTCCAAATCGCCCTTTGACCCTTTGACACAGGAAAAACTGTGGGTTAATTGGCATTCCATCCAAGTAGAGCCAGAACCTGGTACCTGGCCAGAGCTTGAACTCCACTTGATGGATACCTCCTAACATTTTTGCTGAGGTGGTTTTTTTGGGTTTTTTTTTTTTCCCCCGTCTTTCTCTGCACTGGCCTCTCCTTTAGTTCGGTCACTGAGTTCTTTCACAACCCCGGTATGGTCTGCCATCGGGCTGCTTGATGATTTGTCACAGTCTTTAGCAAGTGGGGTATATGGGCTGCAGGGGTGTCTGAGGATTCAGTCCTGCAAAAACAAACTTTACAAATTTCATTAGTTTTTGCCCTGAAGGTCTGGTTTTATCGACTTAAGTGGGCACCTTTTGATCTTACTATTTTTCTTAACGGCTGCGTACCCTTGCCCTGTGAGTACCAGTCTCCAACCCTGTTCCCATTCCCCTAGTTCATTTTTAATTATGACCTGTGGGCCTTCCTCAAGTGCTTGGGTGGCCCAGTGTCACAATGTTAAGGTGTTCTTCTGCCAGAAAGATCTGTTCACTGTATAGTTTGCCAAACAGTAGGCTGCTGCAGCAATTTGTGAAGGAAGGTACTCCAGAAGAGGATCAACTTGAAGGAGACTCAGCTCTGCAAGATACTTTGCAAGGTTCTCCATCCTCATACAGATTCCACGTCTCTGAATATACTGAAGGAGGAACTGGTTGACAGTTTGGGCTGTTAGGTCAAAACCCAGCACTTTGAGAAGCAAGTGTTCCATTCTTAGCAGCTGCTTCTTTGTGTAGGTATCATCTGTTATATAGACAAATTCATCCACATCTGGTGGGTAGATCTCTTCATACTTCGCAGCCAGAAGAATTGCTGCTGTTGCCACAAGCTGTAACTTCCCTCTGGGAGCAGACATGCAGGAAAGAAACCTCTCCAGGAAGTTCACTGCCAAGTACAAAGTCTCTGTCTGAAGTTATACTCTTCCCCTACTTCCCCCAACCAGTCTACCAGGATAGCACGCACCCCTGTTGTGGTATCTGGCTGCTTCTTCATGTAGTAGGGCTTGGGCCTAAATCTTACTTCTGCCTCTCGGAGGTATTGATGAATGTCTTCTGCATACTCTCCAGCCAGAGTTACAACATCTTCCACTACCATAGGAGAGCCTGAACTCAGATCCAGCCGCCGATGAATACTGGATGTCATTGCACTGGTATCCAGTTCACAGTGGCTTAATTCCAGCTCTTTAGACACTTGGCAGCTGTAGTTTTCTTTATCTTCTGAATCATCTATGTGGATAGCAAAACCTTGCTTTGATGCAGCACTGATGATGCAGTTGGGCACTTCATGTTTTCTACATGAAGTGATGGTGTTTTCAAAGCCAGAAAAGCACTTGATAACAGCAGCACCCTGACCGCCGGGCCGCTGCTGCTGCTGCCGTTCTCCGTCAGCACCCCCAGCACGGCCCAGCCGCCGCTGCTGTGGAGGGCAGGGGGGCAGGACTCCCGCCGCCCCACACGGCCCTTCTCCCCGGTGCGATGCATCGCCCCGACGTCGGTACCGTGCTGCTCGGCTCCGCTCGCCACCAGCCCACGGAACGGTCCAGCCGTCCTGCGCCGCCCAGGCTGCCCGCCTGCCCTGCATAGGCGCAGCCGCTGGAGGCGGCGGCTGTTGGGTGCGGTCAGTTGGGAGCCCGGTGGCTCAACCCCTGGCGCGCCGCCTCAACAGCCCCGCCGGCTGTGGGTCGCCATGGTGACCCCCCCCCCCCCACTCTAGGGCTCATCACCCTGTGGCGCATGAGGCGGAGGCCCCGCCCAGGCTCCCTCGGACTCCGAGTCAATGGCAGCCCCCCTGCCTCCCATCTAACGGCGGGGCTCCGCGCCTCTTAACCAACGGCCACGCTCTGCACCTCCGAACTAACAGCCATGCCCCGCACCTCTGAACCAACGGCCGCGCTCTGTGCCTCTGAGTTAACGACGGCCGCGCTCTGCGCCTCTGAGTTAACGACGGCCGCGCTCTGCGCCTCTGAGTTAACAGCTGCATTCCGCGCCTCCTCAAGCAGCCCGTCCCAAAATGACCACTTTTTCCCCGTAGATGGGGTGCCTGGGCTCGGGAGCTGCGAAGAGCGTTCCCACGGCTGCGAATCCCCACACTCAGCGGACCCACGATCGTCCGCACCCTGCCGGGGCTCCTCCCACAAGCAGTCCTGGGTGGCCTTCCACTTTCCCCACTCCCGCTGGACCGACTGAGCCTTTTTCAGAGCCCACATGACCCTGCCCCATGATTTTAGACTCCGCCCCAAGCCTGAGGACATAGCTCCTCCGCTAGGGCCCCAGTACCATTATCCCATACTTCCGGGCAGAAGATATCCTCTGGATGCCTGATTGCCCCAATGCGCAGGAGCCTCGACACTGCGAGGAAAAAATCTCCCGGCTCACAATCTATGCCCCTTTCTCTGTGAATTTTAAAAACAACCTTAGCAAGGGGCTCCATCCTCTCCATTTCTGGCTATCGACGCGAGTCTTCCTCCTTCACCAGGTCCTGGTGCAAGACTTCCTCTTTCACCGAATCACGACGCAAGACCTCCTCTTTCGCCAGCTGCAACGCGAGCCTTCCTCTTTCGCCAATTTTCCAGCACAAGACTTCCTCCTTCATCGGTCCTAGGCGCAAACCTTCCTCCTTCACCAGCTCCTGGAATGAGCCTTCCTCCTTTGCTGAATCTCAGTGTTGGACCCTCCCCTCTTGCCAGTCCTCTGGGAGCATCCTCCCCGCCGGAGACAGTCCTGCTGCTCCGGCCACCGTTTGCTCGCCCGCGATTCCCGCTTCCCGGATCGATCCCGGGTTTTGGCACCACTTGTTTCCACCGCTTAGGGTGTGGCGTCCCGGGTCAAGGACAGTTCAGTCTCTGCCACACGGGCCAAGCACACGCATACACCAATGTGGTGGACAGTAACTGGCCTTTATTAACAGTTAGACAGGGTCATTTATAACAGGGGGTAACAGTCAGTTAACGGTAAAAGGGGAGGGGTTCCGCCTAAGTGTAATATCATGATATCTTGAGACCTCGCGATATCTTGAGACCTCGTGATATCTCCCCACAGGGCTGCACCATAGAAGTCCCAAATTGCCCCAAGGAAAAATAGTTTCTGAGAGGACAGACCTTAAAATATCACAGCAGATACAGATAACAGGACAAAATCCTTCTTATAAAAGGTCACACTGTAATGAGTTCCAAATTGCCAGAGAGAAAAAACAATTTCTGAAAGGATGTATGTTAGATCAGTTAGATCAGCAGGCACAAGGTTTCAGGGAGCGTCACACCGTTTTTTTTTTCTTTAATGCCCAAATGAAATCTCTCCCCAAGATACATACAAAATGATTAGAACAGATACAAGGCTTTTGTTCAAGACCACCCCACTGCTGCCACGAATTTAAATGTCTCATCCACTGTGGGGAACTGTGAAGAGTTCTTTTAAAAATAGATGTTCAGGAATGAAACCAAGTCAACTGAGACAAACATTGTATCTGAGTACCATTTATTGATACTGAAAAACAAAACACAAAAAAATGGAGTTACCCTACTAAAGAGGACTAGAAAAGAGAGAGCAGGAGGAAGAAAAAACGGAAAAGGAAAAAGGGGGAGAGAGAGTAAGGGAGAGGAGATAGAGGGAAAAAGTGGGTGTTACCACTAACAGGGCTGGGGAGTGCTGTCAATGTCCACAAGGTGGGGGGTTGCACTGCACTCTGCCTGCTGCTCAGCCTGTGCAGCTCTCAGAGATGCACAGCTCCACAGGCACAGCTGCTGTGGCAACGAGCAGCTGGGCACATGGTGAGTGCGTGCATGGGCAGGAGGTCCAGAACCCTGGACAGGGTCACAGTGGGGATGATGGCGATGGGCTGGATTGGAGGCAGCTGGGGTTGGATGCTGATGGCTTGGGTAGGGATGTAGGGGTGAAACAACAGAGTGGCGGTTAGGGACACAGGGAGGCAGGACAGGTGTGAGGGCAAGCAAGAGCCAGCAAGAGCAGGAGAGCCAAAAGGCAGGCTAGGACCAGGTCTAAAAGGACAAAAAACAGGCTAGGGCCAGGTCAAAGGAGCAAGTGAGCCTCCACAGGCTGGAGCCAAAGCAAAAACACAAGACTCGAGAGCCCCAAGACTCAAAAAGCCCAAAAGACGAGACACAAAAAAGCCCCAGTCACCAAGCCAAAAAGCAAAATGCACAAGGTGCAAAAACCCCCAGAGCTTGTCGTGCAGTTGCTTTTATGCTCCCTGGCCCCTCCCAAAGTCTGCCTCCTGACAGGAGACTATTGGTCCAGTCCAACCTTCAGTGGCAGTCCATTGGTGGAGACCTATCATCATCTAATTGGAGAAGCCTCTCTGGGGAGTAAGTACAGTCTCTCCTGTTGACTGCTTGTCCCATGTGAATTGTTGCCAGGTAAAATCTCCCCAGAGACAAGGCTTCTTCCTATATTCTATTTGCCTGTTGCAGGTGGCACATGTGCATCCCTGACAACCAGTGTTGAGACAACTCAAAACTAAATTGGCTCCTCATGCCAGCCCATCATTCTATGTGAAAAAGATGATGATCAGGGTGTGACAACTCTGGAAATTATACAGAAAACACTGACTGAACTGCATATAATATCTGACTTTCAGAAAAACAGCAAAAATAGGGATTTTTAAAAGTTTATAAAGACAATGTGTTTTTTTCTTATTTTCTATCCTACACTGGACAGACCATGATCAATCATGTCTTGAAGAAACAAAGCAGCAGTTGCTTTAGTAAATAGCTGCTTCTGAAAGTACCTGCTCCTCAGCTAGAAAACAGGTTTTTATCTTCTGTTGAGTGGTTTTTGAACATCATACTTTAGGGTGACAGGAGATTGCTTACACATGCTATTCAGGTGTGTATCTACATGTTGCTGATGTTGGAGACAGGCACACAACAGTGCACACCGAGGTTCATGTGACAACAGCCAACTTTTACTGAGTGCTCTTCTCCTTATATAGTTTTGAAGGTCCACACAGTTAGTCCTGATTGGCTGAATTAGTTGCCATCCAGCTAACTGGCCAATAGCTGCCTGTGTCCCCAACAGCCTAGACCTGCTCCTCAGTTGTCCAGACTGGTCGAGTTATATAATTAAGGTAGTTACATAATTAGTTATATAATTAGCTATATTTCACGTATAAAATTAGGATTATTTATAACTGTGAGGCCTTAAGGCCAGCTGTTAGCCACCACAGTTCCCCCATTTTGTTTTTAAATACAAAGTCTGTCATCCTCTGCAGGGCCCTTGCATTCAGGATTACAAATACAGCACAGTGTACAAAACAATCATGATGACACAAACAAAAGCCTAGGTTGAATGAGGATTTCCACCCAACTCAACAAGCCTAGCCCCTATCAAGTAGTGATATGTATCCATGTATCATTGGAGATGTAACATTCATATCCAGGAGCTGTCAAATGGGATTACCAGTAATATAAATTCTCAAAATGGCATGGTGCAGGCTCACTACTTAGAAGTTACAATTTTACAACTTTCTGTAGAACTGTTAGAAAGCCAACTAACAGGAGAAACAATCTGTCTTAGTTTGGGTTTGCAATTCATGTCCTTAAATAGATAAAATCCTTAAGTCCTTGTATCTTTAACTAGATAAAATTTTCATATCCTTAAATAGATTAAAAAATCCTTAAATAGATTGTCCCAGATCTCCATATAGCAGGTCTACAAATTGTTTAAATCACTGCTCCATGACATCTGCTGGAGGGCCATCAGGAAGGTGCTGCTTCTGGTCCCAAGCAGGATGTAGAGCAGGGTGTACACAGCTGGCAGAAACTCATTGTGTTCGGTGTCTGTGGAAACACAAGTGTAGCCACGTCCCCACATAAGCAGATCCCATGGACCTTCCTATTTCCTAGTGATAATATCTTGCACCATTACTTTGGATTTAGGTGATTTGGCATCACTAGATGACTGCAATGATAAAAAGTGATTAAAAATTACTGGATTCTGGGAATTTTCTAATACTGTTAAATGGTTCCAAGTATATATAGCTTTAGCCACTCTACTCAGTGGGGTCTCACCACTCATTCCCCCTTTCTGTTTATCAAGTATACATTTTAAAGTGCCACGTGCACATTCCACAATGGCCTATCCTGTTGCTGAGTGGGGAATACTGGTGTGGTGTAACACACCCTAGAGTTGTAGAAATTGTCTCACGTTCTGTGAAATGTAAGCAAGGGCCATTGTGTGTTTTGATGGTTTGGGGGATACCTAAAGCAGCAAAGACTGATTGCCAATGTGTGATGGTATCCCAGCTCCTTTCCTCTGTATGTACTGAAGCCCATATGGCTGATGAGAAGGTGTCAATTGACACATGCACATATTTTAGATGTCCAGATTCAGGGATGTCTGCTTGCCAGATTTGTAAGGCTCTCAGACCATGAGGGTTAATTCCCATCTGCAGTGGTGCAGTGTGGCCTTGGCAGTCAGTACAGGTGTTAACCATATTATGAGCCTCTGTGTTTGACAGCAGGAAT